TGGTGGTCTTTACTTGAACTAAAAAAGGGCAGACAGAAAAATTTTCATGAACCAACATACAGTTTTATTTGATATCATAGTTTTAGTTGTATGCATTCCTTTGTAGGACAAGTAGAGAGGTTGATAGTGACTAAATTGATCTAGATGCTTTATTAGTTGCCATGTAAGTTCCTTCTTTCACGTCTGCGACTTAATCTTGGATTCTGTCATTCTGCAGGAAATACTTGGAAGATGCCTGTGTTTGGGTTGATTCAAATACAACAACACTTAGCATTTTGTCTTCACAAGCTGAGATTGGACTTGGATTTCTTCTGATTCTTTCTCTTTTCTCGTCAGTATCTTTGCTTCCCTATACATTTTTCTGGCTTTGATGATTTTTGTTTTAGAACTTCTGATTCTTATTAAAAAAAAAATGCGTACGTAATTGTTAAGGTTACCTCCTCAATTTATTTCTTAACCATACAGGTGGCAGCGCAACATTGTACAAGCATTTATGTATTGGCAGGTGTGTATGGCTTCTCCTTTTATACTTGAATACGGAATTTTTAATTTTACGTGACTTAAATTTCTTTAGTTGTCTAGAAATTTATATTCGCTCTTGTTAACTGAAATGACCGACTGCAGAATTCAAGAAAAAATATTTTTCCTGTTTTATGCTCCTTTGGGAGACATTCTGATTCTTCTATGATGATGGCAGGATTATGCCATTCCTAGCTAGATAACTAGGTCTAACATGTACCTGGTGTTCTGGTGGAGCAGTTAAGATGATCTTTTATTATAACTTATATGAACGTCTGACTCAGTTCTCTATATATAATGTTGGTCTATAATGGCCTTCTCGTTGTTTGTCTTCTAGGGAACGTCACGACATCCAAATGTTCTTCTCTGAAAATGTAAAACTTGGCAGCTTGTGAGATAAAGATTTTTGCTTACAAGTAAACAAGTTTTAGAGCTTGTTTGTTTGGGATTCTCAAATTCTACAGTAAATCAATTCTCATTTTCAACCACATATTCTTCAATAAATTAATATTTTTCACCACATCGATAATTTTTTCTTCTTTTTCAAACACACATTTCCCATCATATCATTATTCAAAAATCAATTCTTCCCCCAAAAATTCCAAACAAACACCCCCTTAGAATATTTTTATTTTTACTGGACTGGGCTGGAAGTAATTACTTATTTTAACAGTAAGGTTAGACTTAATTTTCTAATAAGCAACTCTTGTTACATAGAAAGTAAGAAAATAGTCATCACTCAAAAGTAACTTTTACTTCTAAACTTAGCCCTCCATGTCATTCATGTGCACTTGGTGCCTGTAAGACTGTTGTCTAGATATTTTTGTTATTAAATGATGATGGTTCTTGAGAAATATGGTTTTTGTAGATTGTTAAAGTTAGTATTCTTATGCTACGTAAACATTTTTTTTTTCCTTCTGGCAGCTTTTAAAGCTTATGTACCAGGCCCCTGCAACTGCCGGTTACCATCAAAGTGCATGGGCCAGGATCGGGAGGACCTTAAACCCACTAATCTATCGCTATGCACCTTTCCTGAACACTCCAATTAGTGCTATTCAGAAATTGTGGTTTAGGTAAAAAGCTTGGAGAGAAGGAAGTTAATGACAACATGTGCATGTCTTTCCTCTCGAGACGTAAATCTCGATTATTCAGAACCGGATATATGATTAATCAGTCACTTGACTAAGATAAGATTTTGATGTATAACTTTTTACTAATAATCACATTGGAACTTATCGTTCAGAGGGCGATGTTGAGGTTATTGAAGTTTTCTGTTTCTTATCTTCTCCTTAGAATGGTATTGTCTTAACTATGTTTTGTTTTATGTTTTGACACTTGCTATTGATTTGAAACAGTAGTGTGGCATAAATAAACCAGACCTAGTTCTACAGAAACAGATAATGAATTTGACAGGTTTTTTAGTGTATTAATTAATTTGTCATGATATTTCTTTTATGCCTTGCTATAATGATAATAGTCGATTTTTACTCTTTTTAAACCTTTTTTAAAGGTGCTTTTTCACACTTTGGGTCTTTTTCTTCTTTCATATTTCCCCCATCGAAGCTACAAGGAGTTTCAACAAGTTCAAGTAAAAAATAAAAAATAAAAGGGCAAATTAAGTCAATGGTCACCATAAATTTTGAGTAGTTACACTAACTGGAGTGGTTATTTATGGTAATGCTCACTTTAGTTTTTAATTGTTACGCTAATGATCAGTTGGTTAAAATTATTAACGAATATTGTGTCAAAATGAAATTATAGCGAATTTGAGAGTTAGATATTTGGAAAAATTAAGTTCACATAAGATAATATAATGCGACTTTAGTTTAATTAAAATTTTGAACTTGAATCATATAGTAAAATCATTTTTCAACAATGAATTTTGCTGATTTAAAATAATAAATAATGTCATTTGGTGGCATGTTGATGCTATATAGGATTTAAAGTTAAAAATTAGAGTGATTATTACTATAAGAAAATAATTTCATAATTATTGAAGTAATCACTCAAAATTTCATTGACAATATAACTAACCCAAAAATAAACATTGCAAGTCAACTCGCCCCGACTTTGTGGGCGCTTGATAGGATCATCCAGTTGATTGACAACATCTCTTTTTATGTTTTTAGTTCATATTAGATTATTCAAAAATTCAAATCAATCTTGCCTTATATATTCCTAATATCTTAAAAGAGGCAATCCACCATTTACTGTTAATTTGTGAAGCATTTTTTTATCCCCATCTTATCCATAGACATCCTCCACTATCCATCCACGCAGATTTAAAACAAAAGGGTACTATGGACTTCTTCTTACCCACAATTGTTGATTGAGGAAAGAAAAAAAGGGAAGCAACCACAATTGTTGACTCTTCTTATGTGTCTCAAAAATAATAATAATAATAATAATAATAATAATAATAATAAAAATAAAAATAAAAAGGGAAGCAACCATTGAATTGTATTCCTGCTTTTCCATCTTATCCATATCGATTCTCCACTATTCATCCAATCTTGAAGTTTGAATATCTGATTGCTTCTGGAAGAGGAAAGAGAGGACACGACAACTTCTTTCACAAGTTCTCTATTTCAGATCACAACATCAATTTCATCTTCACTAGCAGGTTAACGGAGGTTACAATTCAATACTAAATCGTATATTTTGCCCTTTTTGAATTCCCCACTGCAAGCATACGACGACTATGGGGATTTTGTACAAAATTCCTGAAATCTGCATTCCACTCAAGAAATCAATTCAAACCGAAATCTGAGAGAAAATTTACAGTTTCCTCGTTTGAGCTTCTCTGGAAGTTTTCCAATGCTGCAAACTTTTTGCAGACGTCTTGAGGTATTCTCAAACGAAATTTAAAATAAATATCCTTTAAAACATATATTATACATAACATTCAGTAGCTTGCCTATTCATTTATTTCTATTAGTTTTTTGCATATTGTATGTACGTATGTTAATATATTTCGTAGGAACATTAGTTCCACTTGGGAACAGAATTATATGTGCTAATAGCCTTCTTCAATTTCTGTCGGTTACTTTCAGACTCAACTATTCCATAGGTTAGCATATTCTTCAGATGGAGTTACTGGTTCTTTAAATTTCGAAACAATATCACATCGCCAACAACAAAACCAAAGGCAAAGGGATTGTCGAAATCGACTTCGAATTGGACGCACTGATCATCGCAAAAGAATAGTTGCTCCTATGTCATCCAGAAATAATAATTCGAATCCTATGCAAATGCAACATTCTACAATGAATTATGATTTTGAGGCTTCTACTTCAAACCAGGAGATACCTGATATTTGCAATTCTGCATTCCGAAGTGGTTCTTATTTATTGAATATACCGACGACTTCATATGTATTACCCACATGCGATACTTGTAGAGAGTGTAATGTCTGTAAAAGGAAGAAAATAACAATTATTATGTTTATTTCTTTTAGTTTTGTTTATATTATTTTAAACGAAAGCGTATGTTGAAGTTGCAGTTACCATTAAAAGAAGAAGCTTTAAGATTTGTAGCCCATATCATAGGTTTTGTCGGTAGATTTTGAACAATGACAATGCACTCTCTTTTAACAAAAGTGTCCCATAAAGTTAATATCACTGTCTAAAAGCGGAGAAGAACTTCGCGCGCTACGCATAGTCACTCTTCGCATTGTACGGAGAGCACTACAATTTCATAAAAAAAGATTTTCATTTTTATTTTTAAAAGTACTAATTTATTTCTTATCTTTTTTAGCTAAAAATTAAACATTTTCACCATATTAAAACCTTCTATAGCGCGCCTTCTTAAATTCCGTTATTCTACTTAATTAGAGTTAGGTTCTAACACTTTCTTAAATTTTAAACAAACTAAATACAATTTCAATTCTCAATAATTTAATTCAAAAAAAAATCATAAACACTACAAAAACTCACATTCGTTTATAAATCATATTACTTTTTGGAAATACTCAATTCTGTTACACATTAATATTTAAAAATTTCTATTTGAATATATCACTATATATTAAAAGAGGTAAAGCAAAGGTTACACGTGTCGCCATTTCCCATCGTCGTACAAAATCCTCATTAAAAAAAAAAAAATCCCTGAAATTCGTCAAAAATTCCCCAACGGCCATTCCTCTTTCTCCATTATCTCACGCAATCATCCACTCCTCCTCCATTTTCCCACGCAACCTCCCATTGCTTCTCCTTCCTTTCCATTTGCTCGATTTTTTGCTACAGCCTCGTGCATTTTCTCAGGTTTGTATTATATTTTCCCCATTTCTTTGTGTGATTATATAGCCATTCATTTATATTAATTTTCAGTTCCCAACTCGGAATCCATAGTTTGCTTCAACGCCAATTCCTCTTTCTTTCAATAGTAAGCTCATTCATTCAATTAGTTCAATTTTTTATTATGATTTTCATGTATACATGTATTTGATTTTCATGTATTTTGAATGTGGGGTTATAGGACAGATGCTTATAGTCAGAGCTACAGAGAATGATATCAACGAAGGTACGTTGTTTTTTCCTATTGCCTTTTTAGACTTTTGTTTAGTAAATTTGTATCTTCGTGTTTTTTTTTTTGGGTGCTTGATTCGATTAGTATTTTTGTTGACTAAAAAAAGGAGCAATAGATTGTCATCTTTATCTGAAAAAATGAGAGAAAAACAAAAGGAATGTGCTAAGCTAAATTGTGTGTTTGAATGGATCTTTGAAAATATACCAGATGAAGCAACGACTGGGAGTGCTTCAAGCATTAATCAGATACTTGGTATTAAAGGAGCCAAGCAAGAAACAGTGGGAAGAATTTTTATGCCTTTCAAGGGGTTGGGGCTTAGTTAGATTGTGGAGTAGTTGATTGTGTTTGTGAAGTGCAAGAATTGTGCCTTGATTTAAAACTTCATCTCTTCAAATCTTAGGAAAAATAGGTTGCATTTAAGGTGTTTGATAAAATGACCAGGTGGAAAATTAGTGTAAAATTAGGTCTAAACTAGCAATTGGGTTTCTTTAACCTCCATTATTATTAAAAAAATGAAAATAAAATAAAAATAATAATCTCCATCAACACGGAGGCATGGAGACACCGGCGGTGTCTCCATGCAGGATGGAGACACAGCTCCACAGCCGTGTCTCCATCCAGAGATGGAGACAGGCCATGTCTCCATCCATCGGAACTCCATCCAGTGCATGGAGTTCCATGTCTCTGTACACTAGATGGAGACATTTCTCCATGTCTCTGTCCAGTGGACGGAGGCATGGAACTCCGTCCATGTATGTCTCCAAAATTAAATAACAGTACATAAAATATTTTCTTGCAGGATATACAATTCCTTCAGGATGGGTCATTATGATTGCCACTGCTGGCCTTCATCTCAACTCCAACAAATTTGAGGATCATCTTAAATTCAATCCATGGCGCTGGAAGGTGTGCAAAGTTTTTGTTCTTTATAACGACTACTTCTAAGTTCCACATCACTCGTCAAAATCCTTGTGGACTTATAAGCATATTAGTCAAGCACCCTTCCATTATAAATGAAATAACAGATTTTTCGCTCTAATTATACAGGAACTTGAACCATCTATCATAGCTAAATGTTTTATGCCATATGGATCTGGTATGAAGCAATGTGCTGGTGCAGAAAATAGTAGGGTGCTGCGGCAACTTTTCTACACATCCTGGCAACAAAGTACATGTACTTCTTCAGTTTTGCATCAGGGATTTCTTCACTTCGGGTTTAATAAGCAATGTCACTTACAACCGCGCGCTCGCATTTGTATTATTACAACTGCTTAAGAGTTATGAACTATTAGAACTAACCATTCTCATTACTATCTGTGCAGATGGGCTATTGTCAACGGATGAAAAATTGTTCGTTCTCCGATGATAAGATTTCCAGACAGATTTCACTACAAGATCAAAGAAAAAACCAACTGATCATCGGATTTTCATATTGAATCAAATAAAGTTATGTTCTAAGTTGAAAATAAAAGGCTAGATGAAAAGTTTTATTGAGTTTCTATTTCAATTATGCAAGTTCATGCAATTTGAGATGTAGACATTTCCATTTCTTGTAAAATAAATTTCAAGAAAAGTTTTTGCATATTTTTAAAGGGTTATTTCAGCACTTTATGAAGAAAACTTGCCAAATAAAGAACCCAACAAGAGATGGGGAAAAACCAAACGAAAAAAGGGAACCAAAAAATAATTTTGAAACTTTTACAGTGGGATGACATGGGTGGCTAATCAATTTATGAGTATTTTTTTTTGCTTTGTAAAATGTATTTTCTAATTTTTTTTAGTGTGCCTTACACTTTAAAATCGTGTTAAATTTATATAGTTTTAAAAAATGTTATTAGTAGAATTGTTAAAAAAAAATTGCACGGTGGCATGGAGAAATGCCTCCATACAGGATAGAGACACGGGACACGGTTGTGTCTCCATCCTGGATGGAGGTGATGGAGACACCGCCGTGTCTCTATCCTGGATGGAGGTGTCTCCGACACACCCACGTGCCTCGACTCCGTGCATGATTTTTTTTTTTTTATACAATGCTACTAATAACATTTTTTCCTTTTATCTCCTGATGTAGGTTTGCTTTTTCTCTACTCTTTACCAAGGATTACAAGAAACAAGCATTATATATTAACCACATGCAGTTTGATGTTTTCTTTTTACCATACTAATTACATTGTTAATTATTATTATTATTATCCACAAGTCAGCTATTGATTTATTTATAGTGAAATATTAGTTCTAAAAATAAAAATTACATATCTACAGAGATGAGAAAGATGATGATTACATTTTATCTCATCATCAATCAACGTTATAAAATTACTTCATCTAATTCTTCCACCCCACCGAGCCCCACCAATCCAAAAACTAAATAATAAGGTAGTCACGATTTAGTATTTACAAAGTTTTCATTCTCGATAGGAAGATANAAAAATATAAAAGAATAAACCATGAAAAAGTGAAAGTAAATGGTCCCCAAAACAAATTAGGATTTTACTGTTTAGTACTCAATTTCTATGACCAGGCGCAAAAAGAATTTCCATTTTAACAAACCCCCACCCAAAAAATAAGGATAGTGCCTCTATCCACTTGGACGGAGGCATTACGGAGGCATGATTGGAGAAGTGCCTCCATCCACTTGGATGGAGGCATGACTTGCAAGTGGACGGAGGCATTTTGGATGGAGGCATTTTTCCATGCCTCCGTGCGATTTTTTTTTTTTAATTACAATTCTACTAATAACATTTTTTTTAAAACTATATAAATTAGCAGGATTTTAAAGTGCAAGGCACACTAAAAAAATTAGAAAATATATTTTACAAAGTAAAAATAAATACCCATAAATTGATTAGCCACCCTTGCCGTCCCAGTTGGATCCCCACCTTGCACTATAAAATCCTGTACTCCAATATCACGTACAAATTATCAGTTCAATATTAGAAATGTTTATATATTAATAGCAAAACCAAAAAAGAGACATTAATGATTCTGTGGAATTTGACGTTACAATAACATCACTCAAGCTTTATTTTTCCTAACCTAAAAAATAAAATGTTATCGTTACCCAAAAAAAAAAAAGGAGACATGCCGTGACAATATTACCTGATCAACAAGCACTTACCGATTTTAACTATGTTTTAGACTAAAGTAATTTTGAACTTCGAAAAAGCCTTGACAAATACACACTTTTGTTTGTCTTGATAATATTTTTGAAAATTTAAAATTCAAAGTCATTAATGAGGAATGTGTACTTGGTAAATTGTACACAACAAGTTCAAGGAGCGTCTTACTACGATAGTTAATGACGAATTTTCCAATGAACAAATAATATTTGAAAGAAAAATAAGATAAAATATTATTTATCGCATCGCTCAAATCTTTAATATCAAACATAGCGAATCCTCATTATGTCAACATTACGCCTATTACTGGCGAGGAATTGGGAAAAGGAGAGAGGGCATAATAAATATGATTAGATGATACAATTTTTATTTATTATTTTTTTTCCCAATGTGCAACCCACCTTATTAAATAAGAAAAAAAATGCAAGGTACGATTCAATCACAAATGGATATAAATTGAAAACACAAACCATATATTTCAATTCTTCCAAGTCAGAAGCCGTGTCACATTTTCTAGTATAAATCTACAACACTATCTGGCTCATAGATTAAACGCAGTCGATGGCCTAATCCAAGACTAAAAAACTAATTAATCTAGCAACTATTTCAACATAATTCAGAACAAACAATGCTGCAGCATGTCAATTTGTAATTCAAGGAGATATTGTCCAGCGAGTTCACTAAGAACTTTTTACCAGGTTTGCTGTCTTTAGACTGCTCGAGATTCACTTCACCTGGCACAGATATAGGTCCCAATTTTGAAGCTCATGGAGAGAATAAAGACCCAGAAGAATATGAAATCGAACCAACCCCTAGAAGTAGCAGAAACAGCCTTCCCTGGAAGTAGGCTAACCTGTGATTCCAAGTTAGCAGAACCATTGGCGCCTTGTGACAAGCTAAATGAAAGAACAATATTGAAATTCTGGCTCTTGCTAAAAGATTGGTTTGTTCCATCGCCATTGACTGTCAAATTCCTTATTTGAATCATGCCAACCCTAATATGTGCCGAACTGGAAGCAAAATTTAGAAGAAGAGTTGCATTTTTCGAAGGAAAACTCTGATGCAAATGCCGTGGGAGTTAACATTATGCCTCCGTCCACTTGGATGGAGGCATTTCTCCATGCCTCCGTCCAAGTCATGCCTCCGTCCACTTGGATGGAGACATTTCTCCATGCATCCAATGGAGAACGAGAATGAATTGCACTTATAGAGCAAAATCAACGAGTAGATGTGATGCTAATAAATTAAAGTTTGATGACTAATGTGAAACAAACTTATAAATTAAAGTTCGATGACCAATATTAAACCATTTAATTCTTCTCCAACTGCTCCTCTATCTTTTTTGGGTTCTCAAGAAGAAAAAATCTGTCAAAATTTGATTTTCTTAACTATTGTTTTCTCTGTAGATATCTTTTTATTTCTAATGCTCAGCCTGCTAATTTATATAGACAAAATAGTGCCACTATATCTTTTTCTAATGGTAGTGTAAGAGGGAGAGAGAGATTTGGAGTGAAGAGGTTGAAATAGGAAAGGTTGTATCAAGAGTTGATGATGAAGATGGCTCTAATGGAAGTTCATGTTGTTGTGTTCAATGCTTCATATCTATGATTTCATAGTTGAGTCATGATATAATCTTGATTTACCATTTGAAAAGACATCATTAATGGTCTTGTTGGCATTTCTTTATCAAATGGTATAATCGCCCAGTCCCCAATGCATACAAAATGTCTAGCTACTTTCACTGGCCTCCGTGTGCTCACAGAGACCTACGTGCACGATATTTTTTATTTTTTTTACAATGCTACCAATATTGGAATATTGGAACCTGTGCTAATAATCTATTTTAAGTTTATAGCCAGTCAAATAACTAAAATTTTGGTTCATTGCGCAGTGCTATTTGCCTATTAATTGTTGTTGGATGCTTGTTAGGTTGTATCAAATGGGAAGTTGATTGTTGTTGGATACTTCAGAAAAAAATAATTCCTTCATACCTCATCAGGTGAAGGAAACCATTAACCAACATCAATTCCAAAATAAAATCATTTCTATCTTGTCGCCAATAATCACCTAACGTGCAACGCACGTTCTCTTCACTAGTATAGTGAAAAGTGACCAATTTTTTCTCTCCTTAAAGCCCCTTTCAACGCTGACATTTATCTTATCGACAATAATCAACTAACGTGCAACACACGTTCTCTTCACTAGTGATATAAAAAACAGCAAGAAAAGAAATTCATCCCTATTGAAAAAAAAAAAAATTTATCCATACATATTTAATATTTAATAGCAGATATTTTCTATAAATGATAACAGTAGATATTTTTAAACAGCCACATGCCCTTTAGTACTTTTAACTTTGTAATCCCTCCGTCACAAAACTTCATCCATATATATATAAAATTCTACAATCACAATTGAACTTCCTAACTCATTTACTAATAATTTAATATACCACCATAATTAATTTGTTAATTAAACTTATTATTAACTTTACTATTATTTCCCAATTTAATTCTCTTGATCTTCTTCTCGTTTTTAATCCTCATAACTTCAATGCACACAACCATATATCAATTTAAATATTACTTCACTAACTTCTAAAGTCTTCATCATAACATCTTCATTTTTAGTTAAATAAATTATAAATTCTCATTACATTAATTATTTATTTCTTTCATGAACAATTTATTACCTGCATGTCTTTAGATCTTGACCAACACATTCTTCACTTCATCATATCTTACCACCATAATTTTTTTAAAACTATCAACGCATTTTAGTGACTTCATAAAAATACAAAAAAAAAATCCCAATTTCTCTTCTATTTTCAAAATTGGCAATTCCTTTTATTTTCAGTTAAATGAAGTAAATACAATTTTAGTTTTCACTAATTTAATATTTTTGTTTTATTCAATGCAAACAACAATACAACAAGTAACTACGCCACATTAGCACTTTTAACTTTATCCCGTGTACATTCAAATAGCATGTCTAAGTATTCTATAAATACTCTAACTATATACTCAAATTGAAACATGTGAACACTAGAATTAATATTGAAAACTTAAAATACATACATTCAACCAGGCTTCCTTTATAAATCTTCCATAAATAACTGAACTCAATACTTCATTTTTTCACATCTGCAACCGTATTACAATTACCACTTACACCTACCAATGCTTCTTAAGTTCTAACTTCAATTTCCTACTGGTAATTTTTTACATCTCCATTCTACAACTTTTTTCTTCATCTTTTACACTCACGTTAAGGAGTTATAATTTTATATTCATAACCATAACTTTTTATACTTAAGCTTATTTTTCTTGCAAGTTACATATATCAATAGCTACAACTTACAAGTTTATTCTACAAATTACTACATCAGAGAGGAACTGGTCTGCGAAGCTTATTGTTGCAGGAAAACAAGCTCCCAAAACTGCACGTAAGTCTATAGCTCGATATCAAAATCTCATTTTCATGGATTTGCAGGTAACTACATATTACATAGGGATTTTCCAACTTTTACTGTACTATATATTTCCTATTCACATGTTCATCTCATTTTAACATTCAACAGGGTAAAAAAGTTATAGCTACAGTGTATGATGCTATTATTACAGTCCTTACTGACCAGTTGACACTCGAAAAGATATAGATAATCTCAAATGTAACTGTCAAATATAACAAAAGTGAATTTCAAAGTACACCTGAAGAAAAGATTTGGAGTATAACAGGAAGAACAAAGGTTTAAAAGCTCAATAAAAATAACTTAGACTTCTTATTTTCCAAATACGAGCTTACTCTATTTCATGTACTAGAACATTATATGGACAAGAACACAAACATAAGTAAGAATTCTACCATACAAACTGTACGCGAAGTATTTTCATGTAATGTTTCATAACATTTAATACATACAAAATACATGACAGATAGATTTTTTGTTCTTGTTTTAGATGTAATTGGTATTGGTATAGAAGTTCGACAAAAAGGGATTATCCGGCTCATTTTGGTACCCAAGTCAGTCTTTAAGATGTTGCATTGATAGATAAAAATTTTCAGACAGTGATATAAACTCTATGGGACACTTTCGTTGAAAGAGAGTGCATTGTTATTGTTCAAAACCTACCAACAAAACATGTGCTATGATCTACAAATTTTAAATCTTCTTCTTTTAATGGTAACTACAACTTCAACATATGCTTTCGTTTAAAATAATATAAACAAAACTAAAAAAAATAAACATATTAATTATTATTTTCTTCCTTTTACAAGTATTACACTCTCTACTAAATTCAATAGCAACATTTTCATTAATGCCGAGTCATTGTCTGTGACTGACTACAAAGAGTGATATTTAAACATTTTTTAATTTCCCCCTTTTTGCTAAAAAACATCGAAATACCATATTTTATGTTCTATATGTAATTGTGTAATTGTTTTTCGCTGGGTGTTAACTAATAACGAAAGCATTGACCAACTTATGGACGGGAACTCATTGATTCATGTGAGCCTACCAAAGCTTTCACCCCCTATAGATAACAAATTCACATCAATTGCTGAATTACTGGAAGTCTATTTAGAGGTTTCTTCTAAATTCGTTTATCGAATAAATATAGCATATGTACATTTTCACTATGAACGCACCAAATATTTTTTTCGCTTGCTAATATTCATAATTTAATAACCCATACATTGTTGTAACAGAAAAAAATTTATTGGATCAAGGCCCGTAGGGCAATTATTACAACCCATCAGAGATTTTTGTATGTGTCCTGCACCAATTGTAAGAAAATGTCAACTGCAGACTTAGAACAAATTCATAAATGTCGCTTTTGGAAATACGAGCATGCAAGAGCTCGATCCCAATAAATCATATATTTAAACATATATTAGCATATCCACTAATGCCAATATCGTTAAAACAATACAATATACTTAATTCAAACCAATTTTATCTCCAGAGCTAATGTTTTTGTTTCACTCAAAGACAATTGGACAGTTGGATGCAAGCATCATCGATGAGACAACAAAAGCCTCATTGGAAACCAATGTCAATACAAATACTGGAACACTTCCAACAGATAAATCCCAGATACTAGAATTCTTTAAGAATACCCTTTCGAACACACATATAACTAATGCGATACGTTACAACCGTCACAGAATCGAGATACAGTGGTGAACAATCTTGCTCAAACCAATAGTGAAACATATTTGCCATTTTATCTAAAAATAAGTAAAAAGAGGATCCACCTGAGTACCGTTATGAAATTATCTTTGTCTTCTACCATGCAGCATCAATTGCTGATACTGATTCCTCAAACACAATGATCAAAGTAAATCCTTCAACTATGAGCAGTCATGTGAAAGATTCAACTGAAAGGAACGCCAATGCCAAGAAAACAGACACAAAAGGCAAACATAAGATGATCAACACAGATGCTGAACTTTCCACATGCATAAAAGAAATCACTGCATCTTCTATAAAAAGACCTCTCTTCCAAACACCAGCTGAAAATACTGAAGCAAAATCCAATAAGAAAATTTCCAAAGCTTCTAATGACACTGCCAATATTCTCACTTTGGGAAAACAATATGAATTATGAAAACGTTTACATTTATTTTGTATTATAGGCAGTTGTATAGTAAATCTTTTTTATATGTTTTGGAAAAAAAACATCCTCATCTATTGTAGGTAGAACTACATCAAGCAACAATGATTTTTTTTTTTTTTTTTGCAAATCAATGAGTTGCAATTAAATTCAATGCAACAATTACAGCTAGAACGAGTATAGAGAATGCAATAAAATGATCAAAACAAATGTAAATATTCATTACACG